GTACCATCTGCTTTAAGAGACTTCAAAATCCAAAATCCCTCAACTGCCTCCATAGTTTCTGTTTGACATGCCTGGAAGACTGGGTTAAGGAGAAGGCTAAGCTAACTTGCCCAACTTGCTCAAAATTATTTCCAATTCCGGAGGGTGGGCTTGAGAAGCTTCCACCAAATACCTTTCTAAATAATTTATTAGAAACTATCGAACGATTTTCAGTGAGAGATCAGATGAAATGTAGTGTTTGTGAAAAGGATGAACAGGTAAAATACTACTGCCAGGATTGCAGACAGTACTTGTGCTCTACTTGTAGCGACTATCATAAGAAGTTTAAACTCTTTGCAAATCACAAAATACATTTAATGGAGGATGTGCAATCAATGAGCCCCTCTCAGATGACTTTGTTACATCCGCCTCTGTGTTCACATCACAGTAAACCTTTGGAATTCTACTGCACAGATTGTAAAACTCCAATCTGTGTGAACTGTACAATTGTGGACCACAATGCATGGGATGGAAAACACAAATCAATCAACATTTCAGACGCATTCCAAACATTTAAAGAAACTTCAGCCACCTTGAAAAAATCTGCCCAACACTTTGTTAACAAATTAGAAGATGGTCTCAAAGCTGTTATTCAGAATGCTACAAAAGTAGACCAATGTAAAGACACATGTTTGAGAGACATAGACAATCACGTTGAAGAAATATTCAAAAAAGTAAAGGAGAATAGAGACAAAATGAAAAACGAAGTAGAGACAATTTACAAAAGAAAAAAGAAGGTAAATGATGTACAAATGGATGAATTTAAAGCAATATTATCCGATATAAAAACAAAACTGTCTTTTCTTAACCAATTATTGAAGAGTGATGAAGGCACTGCAATGCAGTCAAGTGAAACAGTAGTTACAGCACTCAGGGACAGAATCAATGAATTACCAAAAACAGAGCCAGATGATAATGGAGAAATTTACTACTTCATAAACAAACAGCAAATGACTTCATTAAGACAATGTGCTATAGGGACTGTAAAAGATTTGAGGGCCGCAGACTGTTTAACATTAAAAGGAGAGGAATCTGTGAGCAAAGATCAGACAATTATTGTCAAAAT